TAAAACGAACGGTTGTCACATGGCGCCCGAACAGGGACCGTCGCGAACGGGAAGGAGCGGGAAAGTAATGAAGACGTGGATCTATCTTTTGAATAAAAATTCAATGATCGCGGAACTCGAGGCACGGGGTATCCCAACAAACGGCACGTTAGACGAGCTCCGCTTACGCTTGAGTAATTACATAGACGAACACCCCGACGACTTCCGCGACCCCACTCCGCCCGCGCCACCCGCCCCGCCCGCCGACGCCCGCTCTACGAATTCTGGAGCTACATACGATGCGGATACCGCGCCGTCCAGGATACTAAATCAGATGCGCAAGTGGGGGGTACACTTCGACGGGAAAGACCCCTGGGCGTTCCTCGAACGCGTGGAGGAGCTACGCGAAGGGTGCGAATATTCGGACGCCCAAATCTTACGGGGGATCCCCGAATTACTGCGCGGGGACGCGCTACTATGGTGCCGCAACTCCAGGGATGCATGGGACTGCTGGGGCGATTTCGTGAGCGACTTTAAGGCCGCGTACCTACCCCGCCATTACCGCGTCCAGCTAATGAACGAAATTCGCGAGCGAGTGCACAAACCCGGGGAACCATACCTCAAGTACGCGACCGCGGTAATTGCACTCATGCGACGAGCCGGGGGGTTCTCGGAAGAAGAACAAGTAGAGCAGCTCTACCAAAACCTCCACCCGGACTATCAATGGCGAATCCGGCGCCGCGATATATTCACTAAGCGGGATTTATTGGAAGAAGCGACGGAACTCGAGCAAATTCAGAGCCGGCAGAAAGAGAACCCCGACAGATCAACCCCCCGCGGAATCCCGATCACGGCCGCCGCGTACAACCGCGCCGAATGCTGCTGGCGATGTAAGCAACGCGGACATACGCGCTTTGATTGCCGCCGAATACCACGCAAATTCTGTTCCCAGTGCGGGAAGGACGGCGTGCTAACCAGGGACTGTCACCCTCCGCCGCAAACGGGAAACGGAACCAGGACCGGGGAAACGATAGAAACTCCCCGGTCCTTCCAGTAAGCTTTACTCCGCGACCTCACGCCACCGTCCGAGTCCGGCAACTTACTTTCCAGGCGCTTATTGACACCGGATCCGAATTATCGTTTGTAAACATAGCAACAGCCCAAACCCTAAGTGATCATGGCTACCAGATCCAGCCCCGCCAGGGCACCGTCCAACTGGCGGACGGACAACGGAGTACGTTGCCGGGTCGCATCCAGTTACCGATCCGTATCGCAGAAACGCAGCTGTGGCATACATTTCACGTCATGCCAACGCTGAGCAGCACAGTGCTGATAGGCGTGGACCTGTGGGGGAAACTGGGATGCAGTATACCCGCCCCACCTATCAGATACGCGCAAAGACACGCACCAAGGAACGCGGCAACCGGGGTCATGACCCAATCCAGAACCGAGAACAAACGATTACGCGAATTCCTGGAAAACCAGTTACCATTATTCGACACAATCACCGGACCGACAAAACACGCGGAACACCACATACGCGTAAAACCGGGAACATTACCAATCAAGCAGAGGTACCGTCCCCGAAACCCGGCAATGCAAGCAATCATAGACCAAGAGGTAGAAAAAATGCATAACGAGGGGATAATAGAGAAATCGCATAGCCCCTGGAGTTCCCCGATCGTAGTAGTGCGAAAGAAAGACGGAAAACACCGCTTTTGTATCGATTTCCGACGAGTAAACGACGTGACCGAGACCGATGCGTATCCCCTCCCTCAGATTACCGCGACCTTGGATAAATTAAGGGGGGCCAAGCACCTCACAACGCTGGACCTAAAAAACGGATACTGGCAAGTACCATTATCGGCATCGAGCCGTTCTGTCACGGCGTTTACGGTCCCCGGGAAGGGCCTCTTTCAATTCAAAGTGATGCCTTTCGGACTGCATTCAGCACCGGCAACGTTTCAAAGGCTCTTAGATACGGTCCTGGGGCCCGAGCTCGAACCGCGGGTTTTCGTGTACCTCGACGATATCATCGTAATAAGCAGCACTTTCGAAGAGCACCTAGAAACCTTACGGGAAGTTTTCGAACGATTAAGGAGGGCAAACCTCCGACTAAACCCGGAGAAATGCCGATTCTGCGTTGACCGCTTAAAATACTTGGGCCACATTGTAGACGAGGAAGGAATCCGAACAGACCCAGAAAAGACTCAGGCAGTAACGCAGTGGCCGACACCGCAAACGGTTAAGCAGATCCGGCAGTTCCTCGGCTTAGCATCGTGGTACCGCCGATTTATACCGGATTTCGCAACTACAGCCGCCCCACAAACCGCGCTCACAAAAAAGAACGCCCGATGGAGATGGGGTACCGACGAAGAGACCG